GTATGGATGTGATTACACGCAATACACGGAGCTTTTCCCTCACCATTGTAACGCGCTGCTTTTGCAAGGTTCCGTGAAAACGTTTCAGATTTTATTTTCCTTTTTCGCCCTGAAGAAGATATCACAGGTTCATCAAGTTCGTCGAAATTATCCATCCTCGATCACTTTTAGTCAGCTTTGACGAAACTCCTCTCAACTAGCACTTCTTTTCAAAGTCAAAGTAGCCTTGTCACCTGACCTGAATACAGTGCGCTGATTCGCTAAAATGGACTTATCGGCTTCTGTTCAGAAACAACAAGGGCGCTTGACGGCTTCTGCAGTAAAACATGAACTCGCAATGCCTTGAAAGTGGACAAAACGTGTTTAGGGTTCAGATCGCGCTATATGTGGAGAATAATGCACGACAATCAGCTCATTTTTTTTTTAAGTGCCGTTTATCGGTTTTTGCAAATGAACTCTTCATATATAAAAAATAATTTTTAAATCTTTCAGGAAAATCTGCATAGAAACCATATTTCTTCTTTTAGAGAATTATGAACTTTCAAAGTAAAAAATAACAAATCAAATTAATTAAAAATAAAATCAGTTAAAAATAATTTTAAAAAGTGATTGATAAATATTGATGATCTGCATGGAAATCGTATTTCTTATTTCAGATAATTACAAGCTTTCAAAGTAAAGATATTATTACAATTTATTTTTAAAAATACAATAATGTAAAAGTGATTGCTTTTTGAGGTTTTTGAAAAATGTCCTTTTCCAGAGAATTAAACTGTAAAAATAAATGAAATACTTAAATGATTGATAAATGTTGTTTGAAAAGTTTCTTTTTTCTTTTTGAAGTACGTGACTAACAAAACGTTATTGAAAAGCGCTTAAAAAGCAATGCTTTCGTGTAAAACAAATTATCTGTTTATTCACTGGTGTCTCTGTAGTCAGGGTGTGGCCGGTTCCCCTGTCCATCAATTCAACAAAAGTGTAACGTATCTCCTGTCACAGAGTTTGCATCATAATATTTGCACACCGCTACACTATTGTTGTGCTTACAGACAGCTAAATGCGGCCCTGCTCTTTCCTGCTCTATGAAAACAAGCCATCGTCTCATGTCAGCTTTTTTTTTTCTTTTCTTTTTGCTCATGTGGTCGAGAGATCGATTTGACCGATGAGGATGTTTCTTGTCACACACTGTTTAATCTAACCAGCACTTTAATAGCTCTTGAATGTGATTTTATTTGTATCGGTTTAGCAGTTGCCACACATTTGCTGAAGCAGACCTGTTGCAGAAACATATGAAGTTAAGTATTTCTGCAAAATTATAGAAAATCTACAAAATCTACCTGGTTATTAAAGATTCTTCACAGAATTCTGCTTTTTTGTTTCTCAAAATTACCTTAGAAAATATTAAAAAGCTTTACAGATTCTGTCTAGACCAACTACTAACTATAACTTTATAATGTTTTGTCAGCTAATGTTTATTTAATGAGAATGTACTAGAGATTAGTTATAGATAAATGAACTGCACGAACCTGAAATTCTGTGCAGCATATGGCGTTTGTTGATGTCTACTAAAGATTATGTCATTTCTGCTGGGTTATTTGTTATTTTTGGCTACCACCTACTGCAAAATACATTTAGCACAACATTCTAACCAAATAAATACTTTTATGTCTGCTTCAGAAAATCAAACATACAACACAAATCATCCAGACCGCAAACATTTCTCAACCCCCCAGGATTGGAAGTATAGAAATGCTAACCGTCAAATATATCACCCCCTCAGCTAAGTGAACTACGCACAGTTCTAAGCGTACACCTGCAGGGCAACGTGAGGAACGTTTAAGGGCACTGCGCTATAATTCTGATGGCTAATTTAGTCATTTAAGCTGATTGGGTGAAATACATTAATGAACTAGGACAAAGAGGTAACCATTAGTCACCCGTAGAGCCAACAGAGGTTACGAATTCTGCTCAAGGTGACATCTGCAGCTGAAAAGAGAGGGAAAAGAGGGTGACCTCAGCAAAGGGATAATATAAAATGCTTTAGTTGGAGAGTTAATGGAGAATTTGGGCTGCTAACATAGATGTTGTGGATTAGCGTCAAGAAGTGCTGACCCAGAAATGTTACTGAGATCACTTGAGGGCGAGGGGGATGGTATTGCAGCCTTGGTTAAGGATCTAAGCAGCAAACACAAAAGTTAGTAGGGGTGACCCATGAACTTTCCAGCAACTGAGATTATATTCCTGTCAATGTATTCGAAGTAAGGTATTTTGGATAAAAGGCATCAGCTAAATGAAAAATGACAAAGCAGTGTCTGTCTTTGCCTTTCTGTGTGTATTCCTGTGACTGAATTCAAAGCCTTGGCAATAAACCTTGAATACTTCTAAACCTGTTATGCAGTATGTACTGTACTGTACTGTATGTATAACATTACAAGCTGAATAAAAAAACAAAAACACACACAACACTACATACACTGGAACTGAAGAGGAGAACAACTAATGTCATTTAAGACATAAATGAAAATTTCATCTTATATATTTACTCCCATGTCGTTTAGCTGTGTGTAATGTTTCGAAACTCAAAAGTAGATCTTAAGCAGAATGTCTGGGCATCCTTTTTCATAAAAAGACAGTAGATGGTTATTTATACAACCAAAAAGTACAAAAGATACCATAAAAGTAGTCCATATGACTACAAAATGATTCATTTTGCAATTTTTGGAGCATGAGTGTATAAATCACCATCCACTTTTGTTGTCTTAAAATAAAAAATGTTGTCTTAAACTTAACATTTGTTGAGACAACTTAAAATTATTAGTTACGTTAATTTTAATTTAGTTTAAGTCAAGTATGGACTTTAAGTTGAAACAACACATTATTACTTGTTTTAATAATTTCAAGTTGTGAAACTAATCACAGCAATGTATATGAAAAGTGCATCTTGGACAACATGAGGGTGAGTAAATAATAAGGGCATTTTCATTTTGGGTGCACTGTTACTTTAAGAATGACTTTATTTAATATATTCTCCATCTCTCCTCGGGTTTCCGGTTCACACTGACACAGATATCGAGACAGACACTCAACTTCCACAGGTTCCCTTCATCCTTCATGCAGCATGGTGAAAACAGACAGGGAGGAAAGCGAACAGAAAAAAACCAACAACAGAAAATAATGTTCGTATGCATGCATGCAACAACTTAACAGAAACAAAGAAACCATGCAAAGTGAATCACATGCAGTCAAATGTATGAAACTGAACCAAAACTGTCAGACACAACGAGACGTCATTTATTAAAGATTCATCTATAGCAGCTGAGTCATTCGTAGGCTGTGGATTTCTTGAACTAAGCCAGGCAGCTCAGAGGGCACACTTGGTTCAATAAGGCATATGAACAGCGTTTGTGGCAAAATGTAATTTGACACAAAAAGGAATTGCAAAAATAATGACTTGGCATTTAGTTTTAGCTTTTCAGTTGCTTTTCGGCAAAAACAGCCATGAATAACCTTAAGGTTGTCTCTGCTTAAAAGTGGGATAAACGTATTTTAACATCGACAATATATACTTCACGTTTCTATTTGTCAATTTAGAAGCAATATTTGAGTACCTATACAAATAACAGATTGAACGGAAGCATTTTTTCATTAAATACCATTGTAACTTCACTGATTTGACAGTCGACTTACTGCACATGCACACTTACTAAAGAGCTGCTCTGTCAGAATGACCTCACACATTAGTCACAGACAATACTGGAATGACTCGGACACTCATAGACATTTGCCGCAACTGAAGACTGTTGCTGGGGAAAGATGAGGTGAGCAGGATTTTTTAGCAACATTTGAGGACTGAAGAAACAGCCTCTATAGATGCAGTGTGGGCTGGTGCACTGTGAGGTGTGTGGGCTGGGTCTAACAAACACTTAAAGCGATGTGGTGGCAGTGCCTCTTTTGAAGAGTGGGTGGCGCAAATGCAAGGTATTGGAGAAAGGCTTGAATAGGCTCACCAATGAGCTCATTTATCTTGCCACACAGCTGCAGTGAAGTCATGGAGCTGGTGCTTTCCAAATGCGATAAATACTTTATAGATTTTGCAATCCTCGCAACTTGCATTGTGACAATATGCATGTATAACTTGCTCATTTTTTAGGGGTTGTACATGTTTCAAAGTAAATAGTTGACCCAAAAAATGAACATTTGCTGGAAATTTACTCAACCTCAGGTTATCCAAGATGAAGATGAGTTTGTTTCTTCATCAAAACAGATTTGGAGAAATTTAGCATTGCATCACTTGCGCGCCAATGGATCCTCTGCAGTGAATGGGTGCCGTCAGAATGAGAGTTCAAACAGCTGATAAAAACATCACAATAATCCACAAGTAATCCACACTCAAGTCCATCCGTTAATGTCTTGTGAAGTAAAAAGCTGTGTGTTTGTAAAAAAACAAATCCAAAAGTATGAGTCCTCTATCCATGATAACATTTTCTCCAGTAAAAACGTTGTCTCGTCTGAATCAGGGGAGAAATATGCATAGATCAAGCACCGTCTACAAGCAAAAACAAATTTGTTGGTGGGTTTTTTAAAGTTAAAATGGCTTTTTCCTTTCACAATACATTAACTGATGGACTGGAGTGATGTGGATTACTTGTGGATTATTGTGATGTTTTTATCAGCTGTTTAGACTCGCATTCTGACGGCACCCATTCACTGCAGAGAATCCATTGTTGAGCAAGTGATGTAATGCTAAATTTATCCAAATCTGTTCTACATATTCTCATCTACATATTTGATGGTCTGAACGTGAGTGCAATTTCAGCAAATGTTCATTTTTGGGTGAACTATTTCTTTAAAAGCATAGTTTACTGAAAAATTCTAATTGTTCATTTACTCACCTTCTGCACATAAAATAGTCCATATGACTCTGAATTTATTAATAACTTAGGTTTTCATCTGTTCCCCATGGAAAGATTTTAAATACAGTACACAAGTTATGTTTGTTTTTGTTTTTTTCTTAAATACAGCACACAAATATTTTTTTGTTACGTTTATTTAAAAAAGGTGAGTAAATTATTCATCTTTGAGTGAACTATCCCTTTAAGGGCGAGCAGTATAGTAGACCAGGCAAATATATCCAGTGCTTCACTGTTAATGTTGAAGACATGGGTGGAGGTGATTGGTAATGTAAAACTTTGTCATCTTGCTATGAAGATAAAGATATGCATTCACAAACATGTGTCCACGTGGTGTATTTCTGTGTGCGAATGGATGGATATGGGGGAGGTAAAACTTTTTTTTTATTGCATGCCTGACCGTCTCACTGATGAGGAGTCACATACAATACATTAGTGTCCTTAAAAAGGAACTTCCTTCTAGGCAGAATGTTCATTTTTAAACCACATTAAATGCTTTTTCATAGATGCAGTGTATACGCTGAGATGATATTTTCGATAAAACTGTGTGCTAATAGCTGGAACTCACTTTCATCAGGGTTGGGTGCTGCTAGGATGGCACTGTGCTGCTTCTTGACCTGTTCTACATCCTCCGACAGCTTTTCAATACAGCCACGGATCTCTTCCACCTGTCAGGAGAACATGCGTTAAATAATGCGTCACTACAGTGACATTTGCAAATAGGACCAAATCTAATTGCATATTGTCATGCTCTGTGATAAGACAATCATTTAAGCAGCTTAAATAATGTGGAACAATTTAATATATTAAATTCAAAATATAAATTAATCAACTATAAAATATTTTATCATTTTAATAATACTTCTGTATCCTATATTAAAGATACCATATTATATCTTGTCGCATGAAATGTTAGCTGTATAAACTAATTTGATATTATGTTAATTTTTAGTAAGTAAGCATGCAGAAACTAAACTGCATTACAGTATGAACTGCATAAAAATCAGTAAGTATCATGCTGGTATGGAAACCATGCCTTGATTATTTTTAAGAAGAGCTTTCTTTTGTTTTATTTCTTAGCTTTAAATATTTCCAATCTACTTGGATTAACTTCAACTGTTTTCATTGCAAATTATATTACAGTTTGAGTATGTAAAGGCTGGAATACATATCTTTTGTACAGATATTTGTCAGAATTTGCAGTCTAGACGAGCCAACGCTAGCTGCTAAAAAGTCAGAGCCAGTCTGCATTCAGAGTTGACAGATTTCACAGAAAATCACAGTGTTTGATGGGCACAGATTTAGATTTTTTAGCTTCAGACTATGAGTACATCCAGTCAGAGTATATCAAACAGTTAATATTTTGAGAACACATGTTTTCAAAGCTTATGTTTCTGTGTGAATTTGTTGTGTCCGGTATGACTTGAAAGTCTGCTAGTGTGTGATCTCCAGTCATTTAGTATATGATGCCCAGTTTTTTTCTCTGTAACCATTTACAAAGTTGACAAGTGTATGATACCTAGTGTTTTAAAATCTGTTCAAATTTCAAAAGTCATTTAGTGTGTTCCATATTTAAGTTGAATTGGAAAATTGACAGCAGCACTCAAGTCGATATGAACAAAACCTTATGAGCAAATCAAATCAACTACATCTGCATAAATAGTAACTGGATATGATGATATTTTACTCCCAAGATAAAGTTTACCTGTTCAAAAAATTCATCCATAAAGTGGTCTCGGTCGACATGAACGACTTCCTCATCATCGTCACTGTCCTTAGCCTGTGACAAAAACAAACACACCATTTAAATGTCTTGATAATCTCAATGCAAGAAAAAAAAAATCCTTCAAGTAGATGGAAAATTAGTTTTTTATCATGTTGGATGAGCACAGAGAGAGAGAATAAAATCACAAATGTTGCACACCATACCTATAAAAAGGAAAATATGCTTATGCATATATTATCATAAAATAATTTACATGGATTTGTTTAGCTGATGCTTTTATCCAAAGCAACTTACAAATGAGGAATACAACAACATAAGTGATTCATCTTAAATAGACAGTAATATGAGACATACAAAATTGCTCAAAAAAGAGAGGAAACATCAGTATTAATCATTCTTTGTTGCTGTTTTTGGTGGCATTACTCAATATCTCGCCCAAGAACATGGTAATAAATTAGTACTAATAATGGCCCAAAAACACTTGATATCAATACGCCATGCTGCTCCTCAGCAATTGGGCTTTAAAAGAGCAACCTTATTCAATGCATCCAGACAGCTTCTCCATTTCTCATATAGGATAAAGTAGGGCAGCCTAATAAACTAATGCAAATCACATGTTTTCAGATGAGCACACGGTGTCACATTTAAAAGATGGTTTGATTGTGTTCACATATTGGTATGAGAATTGGGGATAGCTGGAGGGCCATCTCAGATTAGCTGTATGGCCAATCCACGCTGAGCAGAGTTCTCCTGTGTGTGTAGCCATAAAGACCATCCCACCTCCCAACCTCTGTACCCTTTCTGGGAACTAATAGCTCTTCATTTCAAGCAAACTGCTTCCCATCCAATGAAATGGATATTTCCCATCCAATGAAATGGCTATTTCCAGAGAGAAAACATATATTATAGTGACAGTCAGGAGACTGAGATGGAATCTTGTTTACTGGAAGACTGATTAATATTCAGCAGTAATGTTGTAGTACTCGAGGCCGGTCTTGGTCTTGAGGAGACTCAAGGAGATTTTTTGAAGGTCTTAGTCTCTGACTCAGAAGACTAGGAATTTTATTGGTCAAGACCACAATTGCGGTTCCTAAATTGGTGGTGCCTTGTCTGATTTATTTGTTGATTTATCAATTTTAATGGATGTAAAACGTCCTGCTTCAATGCAATCAATAACTTGTTCCTAATATCATTTCTTTTGATACTGTGGTGCCAGGTCAGAAATGAATGGGAAATTGTCAAATATTTCATGAAAATTATTACAAATAGCAAAAAAAAAAAAGCAAAGTATAATTGCAAAAAAGTACTTATATGAGGCTTTTTGTATGACATTTATATTTATATAAAGGAAGTACATTTTAGGGTGTGTTCACACTCGTAGTTCGGTTCGTTTGGTACATGAACAGGAACTCTCCTCCTGTCAGCATTCAATTTGCACGGCCCGACCGTCACGCAGCGAACACGCGATCATGCAGGATACAAATGCACACTTCACAAGTTCTCAACTAGATTCGACTAAGTTTGCAAGGTTTGTGAAATTAAATGTTCATTAGTCATTCAAAGATTTGTTTAAATTATATAAATGTGTATTTGCTGAATGCTGACGGCAAACGAGAAAGTATTATAATGTTTGCCTTTCTATTACTAATAATATTAAAGCAATTGTTATAATACTTTTTTGTATACAATTTAATTCCTTTGTTTAACAGTTCTATCTGATTATTAGATAGAATTCTATCCATATTAGACAGAACTGAACGACGACAGCGTACAAGAGGGAGAATGTGAGTGGTGTGCGCTCAGGCGGCAGTGCCGTCAAAATAAAAGTCCCGCCTCGAACACATCGGCCAAACAGAAAAACGGATGCCGATATTTGAAAAATTCCAAATATTGGCCAATATATCGGTCGACTACTAGTTCGGATGGCAGTGTTCACACTTACTCAAACGAACCGCACTAACAGAGCAATCACACCAGGGTTCGTTTTAATCGAACCAAACATGACAAGTGTGAACATACCCTTAGAAACCGTTATAAAGTTTTTGCTATTTCATCAATGGTCCGACCGGATGTGATGTATTCCAATCAAAACTTTAAGTGTAAAGTAAAAACAGCGATGATATTTGTCTAAAGTCATTCACCTGCAAAATCACCTGCTTTGTCTGTAAAATGGACAATTATGAATAAACAAGAGAGCACATGAATAAGACAAGGCATCTAAAATATAATACAGTTGAGTGTGATTAAGTAATTGGAGTTATTGAAAGACATCAATAATGACGGTTTTGAACCAGGTTTACCAAACGCTTGCTTTTCAATAGAATAAATGTTTACGACAAACGCAAGACTAGACAGGGAGAGTTGTGGGAGTTCTCTGCCAATGCGACTGTAACAACGTTCGTAGATCGGGAAGAAGGAGGTGGGAACCGGCGAATATTTAAACATAAAACTTTAATAAATAAATAAACAAACACAAAATGAAAGTAAAAGCAGCAGCCCCTCACGGACGACTGCCGCATAAAACATAATAAAACAACAACATAAAATCCAGGCCTGGTCCTCTCTCGTCCATCACTGTCGTTACTCCTCCTTTTATCCTCCCGGAGCTCCTCCGTGGGACTCGAGACCGGTGAGTGGCGCAGGTGTCGCTCATTATCATTTACTCCACCGGCCTCGCTCCCTTCCCACGGCTTTCGGCCCCGCCCCAGTCGTCACAGCGACATTTTCTGATCCGATTTGTTTCGAACTTCAGATTCACTCAACTTGCACAGTAAAGATACTGTATGTGACAGTCCGACCGGATGTCACGTATTCCAATAAAAACTACAAGTGCAACGTAAAAATGCCAATGATATTTGTCTAACGTCATCTTTAGCACCTGCTATTTCTGTAAAGTGGACAAATATAAATAAAGAAGTCAAAAATAATTATTTATTCTCTTTAACACTGTAGCCTTAGACATTATATGTTCCTTCCAAAAGTAATGGACGTAATAGCAGGCGTACTGAGTAGGTACTACATTTGAATTTACTTACTTCGCAACCATTAAGAGTACGCTTTATATAGTGTGCATGAAATTCCGCTATACTACATCTGCCAAGTTATTAGGTCACGGGACCTACCAATGTTAGTTGCATCGCTTCACTGCCATTCATAAATCCTCTCCTGTGGCCTCATGG